GGAAGCTATGGGCTTAGAGGGGAGGAGGAGAGATTTCCAAGAGAAATCCCACCCTGGGCTGAGCCACTTCTGAGGGGCCAGGCAGAAGCACTTACACCTCTTTACCAGAACATCCTCCTGCACTCATCACCTGTACAGCTCAAAGGAGCAACCCAGAGGAGATGCTGTGTTTCTACACCCTGTCCATGAACCACCTCCATTTCCCTTGCATTTGTGTCAACTGCAAAGCTCCAGTACAGTGAGGGTCAGGTTGGAGGTGAGGAAATACTTCCTGGTTCCTACAGCAACGCACAAAAGCCCACTGCTAATGGGGACTGTATTTCCCCTTCTTTGCTGCTTTACTGAGAGCAGCTTCTAGGGGTATTCATGAAGGATGACTCAAATATAGAGGACCTTGCTCTGCACCAGTCTCTGGAGTCTCATCAGCCACATTCCCTGTGGTTTCCTTAGGAGAAACTACCTCACCCCCTGACACCACCCTGCCCATCTCCCCACACCACTTGCTCCCAAAGCCTCTGCAGCAGGACAGACCACTGCTTGCTTTCCCCTTGCTCCTACAGGGTGAGTGATCCACAAACCACGGCCAGGTGTGGGATTCCGTCCTCCCACACAATTGGCAATGTGTTTGTGTAGATGGTGGTTAATGCATGCTGCCTCCACGCCTGCAGGTCTCAGTGCAAACCCACATCCCCTTCGCTGGGTTTACATCAGTCCTTTAGAGACCTTGGGAAATTTCTCACCTGTAGGGCAGTCAGACTGAAAAGAGCACAACACCCTTGGTCAACACATTATGACTTCACTCAGAATGCAACACTAAAACATCCCCCGTCCCATACCTTGACCTGAGACCAGCTTCAGCCCACTGCTGTACATGAAGACTCACATGGGATATGAGGAAAAGCCATCATCTCCAAAAGAGCAGTGATGCAGTGGCACAGGCTGCCCAGGGAGGTGGGGGATTCACCATTCCTGGGAGCGTTCTAGAATGGGAGAGATGTGGCACCTGGGGACACAGTGGGCATGGTGGGATGGGTTGGGTTACGTTTGGGGATCTTAGAGGTCTTTTCCAAACTGAATGACTCTGTAACTCTAAGACTGGCTGCTGCCACAGCCAGGATGGCAGCTGAGTGTTGGTGGCCCATTCACCTGTGATGTCCTGCCCTGTGCTCGGGGTATACAGCTATGGTACAAGACCAGCACACAGCCTTCTGGCAGAGACTGGTTTTATTAGATTCTCTCATTAACTCAGCGTGGCTCCTCAGGATCTGTGAGCCACCTCAGCCCTCTGTCCTGAGCCTGGCGTCAGCACAAGGTTGCAAATTGCTGTGAGCGCTGCACTCAGCCCCACGCCCTGCCCATCCCCACATGCTTTGCCACCTGTCACACTCAGCAGGAACGCGCAGTTCGGAACTCTCCGACACAGAACAGCGCGAGCGTCCCGACAGCCCTTTGCCTTTCCTTTCCTTTCTCTTATCTCTATTCCTGACGGCTGCAATCAGCATTTTTCTTTTTTGCAAACCGGGTCATTGCCCCTTCCCGCTGCCTATTTGCTGCACCTGGAGCGCGGGGGCACCGAGGGGCACTCGCTCTCCGGGGGTGTGCGCGGCTACGGAGTGCGGGTTGGCTGCAACGGGACCCGGCCGAGCACCGGCTGCTGCCCCCGGACCGGAGCCCACGGGGTGAGGGGAGACGTGGAGGCGGCACCGGTGTCCCAACGTCCCACCTGCGGGCGAGCGGAGCGGCGTGCAGTGCAGCGAGATGCTGCTGCCGCTGCTTGAACCTCATTACTGCGCTCCCAAAGAACAAGTTAGTGGGCAAAAAGCACCCCCCACCCCCTCAACATCCCTGGCCCGACGCACAGCTCCTACACGCCACGTCTGATTACCGCCCCCCGTCCCCCCCTTCCGCGCACACTCCTGCTCGCCCCCAGCCCCGCAGCACTCACCGCCCACCCAGCCGGCGGCGAAGTCCTGGAGCTGGAGGCTGCCCATGCCGAGCCGCTGCCGAGGGGGGCTCGGGGGGGTCCCGGCGGGGCCGCAGCGGACGGCTCGGAGCGGAGCCCGGCGGCGGTGACATCACGGCCGGGGCTTAAAGGCGCAGCACGGCCGCCCCACCCCGGGCCCGTCCCGTCGGGAGCGGCCGCTCCGGTGCCGCTGTCAGTGCCGGGAGAGGTGGGGCCGGGCTGGGGTCAGATCCAGCGCTCTCCTTTTCACGGCGGAGCTGGAAAAAGCAGAATCGCTCCTTCTCTAAACAGACAGGAGGGGACGGGGTTTTCTTGATGAAGAGTAAAACCAAGGATTGTTCTATAAATTCCCAAATTAATGGAGTTCAGTGGTGGAGAGCATCTCTCGCTGATTTTCTGTCCCTCTGCTTCACTAAAATCTCACAGCTGTCTTTTCAGGAGATGCACCCCCTTCTCTATTTTGAGAAACTGAAGAATCTCTCTCTATCCCCTTCCTTCTCCACAGCATTCACAATTTCCTTACATCCAGAGATTCCAGAGCCCAGTTCTGTTATTTTCCCCTCTCTAGTTTAGCTCAGCCTCCCCCAGCACCTCTCTAAGCAGCACAACAGAACCACAGGAGGAACACATCGGGTTTCAGCGTTCTGATCTTGAACCCTTTCCTGATCATTCCCAACATAACTTCGACTGATACTGAAGACTGAACTCTCCTTCCTGAATGAAAGAATCCCTGACTTCAAGCCTGGCTATTTCACCTCCTGTGTCAGTGAGATCTCATGCCTTATGCTCAAATAACATCCATATGCTCAACAGCACTTTTGCCATCCCTTCGCTCCTTAACCAGATCATTTATATCCTTGTGCTCTCCCTCTTTCTTTGACTGCAGGAAGAATGACTTTGTGAAAGATGCTTTGGTTCTTCCCCATCCTATGTACACATCCATCTCACCTGTGATTTATGACAGCCCAAAGCGCTTTTTGTGCTGCAGGGATCAGATTGTCACAGCTCTTTGGATCGGTCCTGGATGCTTTCTGCGAAGAATGACATCAGTTTCAGCACATTGCCTTCCTGGAATACTGCATTGTTTGTGTCAAAAAATATTGTCTGCATATTCTCGTAGGTACACAGGCAGGTAGTTCATAAACAAGAACCAAACACCAAAATACTGCCTTAAAATACAAATTCTTAAATACGTCAGTGAAATGATGAATACACAAATTTGCCTTGGAGAAATCATCCTTCTCCAAAGGATAGATAACAATTCAAGCTGACTTTACAGCAATGTCCCCTTCTGTACGTGCACACTGGAAACCCAATCCATGGGTTGGCTGAAGGGAGCTTTTGTCTACAAATTGCCTGTAGGGATTTGATATCAGGTGTGAGGTTATCAGCTCTGATCATCTACACCCAAAACCTGAGATCTATCAATGTGCAGAGCACCGTGTGCCCCCCATGCAGGGGCTGCTCCCCAACCACCAACAGCAGCTCCGGGGGCTGTGGACCATGTAAATATCATGGTGACACAGATAGACTCATCAGCTGTTTGTTTCTTCAGATGAACTTGCTTTCTTCCTTTGAGAAGAGATGGGATTCTATATTTGCAGTGATACAGGATATTGTCCTCCTTTTCCACGCATATTTTCTCACAAAGCCAGAGCTGGCTGACTGAGCTAATTATTCAAGATCGCAGCAGCATTAATCATTAATTGCAACAATTCCCTGTAACTCCAAGCAATGCGTTTCCACACCAGATTCAGAACATCTGCTATCTCAGGCAGAACACTGGAGATGATCTTTGTGCAATGCTTAACCGAAAGCAAATGTTACAGGGGCTTCACTGTAACTCTCCAAGCTTGGAAGAGCAGGGTGGGATGGATGCAGGCAGCAAACAGCAACGGTCTGGAGGCTGTTCCTCCAAACAGACTCAGCAGCCTGCAGGGCATTTGTAGCTTTTGCACTCTTCGCAATACGCAAAAGACCCAACAAAGCAGCCCCAAAATGTACACAGTCACTTGTGCACAAGCTAGAAGTGCTTTATACTCACCCATTAAAACAAAGTACAACCCTGGGCACTGGGCAGCTGCGTATTTGTCCTCAAAGACATTGCGGGCTGCAGCCAAGCAGCGAGGGGAGCAGCTCATTGCTGCCCACAACCAGGCAGCACCAGGATCTGTGCACACAGCTCACAGCTGCCAGATGCTCTGCTCGTGCTGACAGCACTGTCATATGGAGAATTGCAAAGGGAGACAGATTTTTTGCTGCTCTGAATCCCAGCCTGGCTCTGCAGCCGCTCACAGGAACACAGGTTGGAAGGGGATGAGTGTGGTTTTGGATTAGGGATGAGGAATCTTCTGCCTCCAGCCAAGAGAGGAAGCGGGGAGGTTGGGTTATCATGGATGTCACTGTTCCTTCTTCCTCCCCAACCACGAAATCACTGCTTTGCGCAGCACTGCATTCCTTTGCCCAAGTGATCTGCTTCCCACAACAGGTGCCAAGGCTTGAGATAAAAGCAAGGAATCCCCCACACCTCAGATGCAGTTCCTAGAGATAAGCAGTTGTGTAACTTGCAATCACTCCACACATAACCACTCATGGGAAATCAAAAGCAACTCAGCAGAGAGAACGCTAGAGATAAAAAGGGATTACACATTTCTTGCCCAATCGTAAAGGATTTCTGGACTATGATGAATTTCACTGGAACTACTGCTGATCCAACAGGACGTTGCCTATTAACATTTTAATGACATATAGTGGCTTAAACTGCGGGCAAGATAGAAGCAAAACAACATGAAACCGTTCAGCGGTCATCAGGGACCGACGGCAGATTCATGAGCAGATCTGAAAGCAATGCCTGCAGACCCCCAGGGCAAAGAGTGATAAGGGGACAGCTTCATGGTCTGCATCTGCCAGACACATCCAGGCAGCAGGAAGACAGGTCAGGGGGCACATAGCAGACATAGCTCTCCTGTCCAGGAGATACTGACCAAGCTCATTTCTGTGGGAATGTGAGCAGAAGATGAATTAGGGACTGCAAAGACCAGAAGCAGGCATGGAGTCTCTGCTATCAACAGCTGCAAAGCTTTTCCCTGCCCTTGATCTCAGCACATCTTGCTAAATATGTATTTTCCCAGGGGGAATTAGGCAACGCAGGGAAGCCTTCAGTCTTTTCATCACCTGTTTGCTTATTCTACTCTCTAGTGGAAGTCTCTGACAAATGCCTGGAGGAGCTGGTGCCTCTAAGATGTGTCTTAGACCAACGGGATACTGCAGCCATGGATGAGACTGAAAAAGCAGGAAGTTCCCTTGGCAGAGGCAGGCATGCTGTGGGTGTACTGCTAATGAGCTTAAATGGAACACTTTGCTCAAGGGCATTCTCAAGTTCCAGAGCTCTGACTGTTGCACCAACAGGCGCCTGCTCAGCCTCTACCACACTTCATAGAGGGCCATTCCACCAGCACCACTCTTACAGCAGTTCTATTAAGGCAGAACAGAGTGCTGCCAGAGAAGAGGTTAAGAGAGGAGTCAATGTTCAATCAGCACAGACCTCAGTAACGTGGGCTGTACAGCAACGTGAGGTCATGGGGAAGTGACCATCCGGCTCTCCTGGAAATGGTGACGCCCATGAGCTGCTCTCCTACATGTTGGATCACCTGTGCTCTCACAGAGAGAACTGGGGCACAGACAAAAGAGAACTGGGAAGACAGGAGCCACAACAGGGCTGGCTGGGGAGAGGGATCTTCTCGCCATTTTGGACAGAGTTTGTCCATGCAAACTTTTCACTTCCCTTCTGCAGCTGCCAGTGCCTGAGCTGCTGATCTCAGCTACCTCTGCAATCTGAGTCATCCCTGCAGTGCAGCCCACCTGATCCATGTACCTGCCCGAGGGTGAGCATTGACTGTGACCAAACAGGAACCTACTTTCACACGTACACACCTGCACTACAGAGATACACATTTAGGTCAATTCCCATCCTTGGCTTCCAAGCCTTATGTTGTGCCAGCCACCAGATGAAGACCTAGCAGGCAGGATGAGTTCCAGCTTGATGAGATCACCTTCCTCCTGCTCCTGTACAGATGTGGCACTTGGCACATGCTACAGCAGTGCACAACACAGCTTCTGTGCAGACCCCACTGGCAATTGAAAATGAGAATAAAGCAGCCTTTTCTGCTGATGAAAGTTGGATACCCAACTCTTCAGAAAAGTTCATGGCTGCTTGGAGTTTGGCTTACATAAATGGCCTTGAAATTCTCAACAGTTGTAATCATTTAGTCCTCAAATTTAGTTTAATTTTGTGTGTGCGCTTTGTCTCCAGCTAAATATAGCTTCCTCCATGTTCACCCCTCCAAGCATCCTTCCACCCTTCTGCTTCTATTATGCTCTTCTAGGAAAGGGATTCTGTTATGCTGCCAAGCCCCGCTGGGCCGGGGTAGTGGAGCATCATCTGGGAAAGAGGAACAGGCTAATTTCAAGAGGTGAACACTGCCATCTGCGAGGCAACATCTCTGCCATCAATAATGCCAAGAAGAACAGCAAACAAAGTTAAACTGAGGTCTTCCAAGTTGCAAACAGCAATCAGAGGGCCTGAAAGCTGCAGGGAAATTTACGTGAGAGAAGCAAACACCGCGTCTTTGTGGGCAACAGTTTGACTAAGCAAGCACAGTGAGATGGTTTCTCATTTATGTTAATGGAAAAGCAGCCTTTGTTCGTGTTCAGTCCCACTCATTCCATGCTCACAATGTCCTGTTTAAGCTCTATTAATCCACTGCAGAGACTATAGGAAGAATTTGCCTTCGTCCTCACTGGAGGGACTCACAGCATCACTGTCAGTGAAAACAAAACCGCAAGATAACAGCATAGAAGGGCTCAGAGGAAAAAACATTGAGAGAAAACTGGAAGATTCAAAGCTGAGCATTATCACTGTGGAGAAATGCTGGTGGTTGTGCCCTTGTCTCACTCTGATTTATGGGAGGTTCTTTAAACATATGCATACCCAACAGCAAGTTTAAGACACAACCAGTCAAGTGTTAGCCTGAGCAGTTCATAACAAACCCCAGTTGCTCAGGGAGGTGGGGAAGGGGAGACAGGCAACAGAAGAGAGATAGGAAATAAAAGGAAGGAGTCTTTGTAGAAAGCAAGAGACACAGTCATCACCACATGTCCAACATGGTTCATAGTGCATCCACTGATACCAAGAACTCATCTGGACAGGAATTTACCCCTCACCAATCTCTTTATGACAGTTATGTGACCTTATCAGTCAGGAATACTGCAAAGTCCCCCAGTGAAACATGGAATAAAGCTGTGCTGCTAGTTGGGCTGGATGCCTGCTTATTCATTTAGGGTCCATAACCTATGAAAGAAGAGAACTCCCACAGACTCCAACACCTCTGTGCAGCTCCCTCCTCTCATCCCAGCTGGTGCTCAATGTGTGGCTATGTGAGAGCTGCTCACCTCTGCTGCCTGGATATCCAGGGAAAGCAACGCGCTGCAGCACAGGGCCAGGCCTCCTGCTGAGCTGCAGCAAAGCTGAGCTACAGCTGTTACATGATAATTTAATAAAAAAATTAAAAAGAGAGAAAATTACATAAAAAAAAAACTCCAAGCTCAGACTGGATCAGCATTAGGAGCATACAGCTTTGCCCAGTGGCTATTTATAGCTGCTGCATTGCTAGCTAATTACCAACTGCAATCAGTGCCTGATCCACACCTTTCCTCCAATCACTGAGGGAGCAGCAGCAGCTGTTCACTGCAATGCATCCCCCACCAGCAAGGAGAGCTGTTTTGTTACCTGAGGAAGGCAGGTCTGCAGGAGAGACTTTACCCAGAGCAGCAGCTGGTGACCTGGTAATATTTGGGCAGACAGTGCCACCAAAAGGATGTAGATCAAATCTAAAAAAAAAGACTTTTTTGATGCTTTCCAAGCTGTTGTTACTACAACTTTCCTCCCCAGGTCTTTGCTTCGTTCCCCATCAGCTCCTCAGATGCTGGAGTACATCCATCTCCATTACAGCCCCAAAGCACCAGGGATGAGAAATTAATGGGTCGGGCCATTCTGCTTCAAAGTCTCCTTTTAGCCCAGCAGCTAAAGGGCTTTTCAGCCCAGGCCACACAGTCTTTTAAAATCCCTTGGGTACCAAATCCCAGCGCAGACAAACTGTATCCTTTGAGGGGTTTAAAAAAAGCACATTCCTCCACATCCCACAGAGTAAAACTTTGTTCCTCGTGCATCTGATTAATGGGAACGCTAACTCAATTTTCTCCAGAAGAGATGTTGCCAAGGGGAAATGAGAAATATTAGGGTGCTTATTTAGAAATATTGTTTAGCAGACAAACTCTGCTAGTTTTATGTGACTTCGTTGCTGGGTGAAGCTCTCCAGCCCAGGGGACCACAGGAGTATCACATATTACCCTTCAAGCAGGAGATGGATCTCTCTGCTGATGCACTGACAGCACGGCTGCCACATTCTCTGAACTAGAAGCAAAAAGAGACATTTCTTTATATAAGGTAAGGTGTTTGGTATTTCCTTGGTGCTGGGTAATCGGGCTCGGGGGCTGCAGGGGGAGCTCCTCCGCTGCGCTTCCAGCAGCACGGCCCGGCAGGAGGCAGGAACGAGTGCTTCTCTCCTTCAGTGTAATCCAAACCTTGATCTGCTTCTACAGGCACATTCTTGCACTGACTAACGACAAAACCAGGCTGCGCACTCTCTTGATTTTCCCTTGAGAGAATGCCACCAGGATGACTTGCCATCACAAGGCTCACAGGGAGGGTACCAGGATGGGGATATGGGTGGTGCCCAGCACGGTGACCTCTCTGGCTAACAGTGCCCTGAAGGTGCTTTCACAGCACTCACTGAGATCATTTTTTTGGTGAGAGCTTTCAAATCCATTTCATTCCAACATCAGATGCATATGCCTTGCTCATCAGCAGCCACGCGATGGTTTAAAAAGCTGTTCTCTTCCCTTACAAATCCTGCCACGGTTTTATTCCTGGATGCTCTCGGCTCTCTCATCCTGCCATCTGGCAGTGATGCAGACCACCTTTAGGACTGTGATTCCCAGCTCTCGCCTTGCCACACGTGTGATTATTTTCCCCTCGCTGGGTACACCAGGTGCCAGGTAGCAGATGTCGCTGACAGACTGGTTGGAAAAGGCCAAAGGTGGTGAATGCCACTTGCAGTCTGGACTGTGGCACTGATATATATGAACACAAACACAGTTACCTTCTCAGGGCATTTTTGTTTGGTTGTTCTTATTTTGGTTTGTTTTCTTTTCATATTAATTTCAGCATCATTTCTGTGGCTTTCTGCCTGTTCCTATCAGGAAGAGTAATATCAAAGAATCACAGAGTCGTTAAGGTTGGAAAAGACCACTGAGATCATCTGGTCCAAGGAGTAAGCCCAGAGCTGACTGAGCTTTGTGGTGGCTGCTACATGAGGATTGGGGCAGGAATGGGTAGCAGTGAGTGAGGACCCTCCCAGAGGCAGGCTGGGCTGCTCAGGGAGGAGGCAAGTTCCCATTCCATCCTCAGCGCTGCTTGGATAGGGCACACAGTCCCTAGTGTCCAACAGCAAAGGCATCTGGATTGCAAAAAGGCAGAAAAGAGAAGCAAGAATGAGAAAAAACTCTCCCAGGGACTTGAATGAAACACCAGATGACCACTTCTCAAACTGCCCTCGGATCATCCCACTACATCTGCTGTTGCTGCTCCATGGAAAAATGGTGGAAAAGATGCAGATCGTATCAAAAAGGAGATGTACAGAACCAGTGTGCTTAAAAGCAAACAAAAACCTGTCAGCTTGTTTTATTACCCATTAACTGCTGCTGCTGCACCATGATCTCTCCAGTCCATGCAACCCAGACATGGGAGCTGCACCTGGAGGTTCTGTACCTGGCTATGGAGACTGATGGGGACTTCAGCTCCATCAGCAGGGCTGTCCCAGCCACGCAGCACTGGAAAGCCCAAAGGATTCTGCCACAATTAACTTCAGCCACAATTAACACAGCAGCTGCACTTAGTGCAATCAGTGCCAGCAGAACTGGTGTTGGTAGCGCTCCTGGCTGCTCTTCTCCTGCACAGACCCACTGCCAGGCTCCCCACTGTCATCTCTTCTCTTTGTTGTATGGACTTTCATGTTTTATTAAACCTCAGAGTGCCTTGATAAGCAGCATCATCCTGATTTCTGTCCCTTCTTTTCCCCGTGGGACAGCAGCAGCAATATCTGAAAAGGCAAAAATAAAAAGCCCATTAGCATTTGCTTGCTGGTGAGTCAGGAGTGCTGTGGTTTCCCTACAGCTTCTCTGGAGTTTTCAGTAGTTCCTTCTCCTGTCCATTTTCCGTGATAACTGAGTATGAGAAACATCTGCACCCCATTAGGAGCAGCTTTGGGTACATAAAACCGAATACAAAGGGTAAAAAAATGTTTGATGGCCGAGTCACGCTCTCATCCAGGAAGCAATCTGGCAATCAGCACAGGGTCCCTGGAGCATCCAAGCTGGAAAACAGGCTCAACCCTCATTTCTAGCGCTTCAGTGAAGCTACTTATGCTGTTAAAAGCCTAAAGCTGCTATGATTCATATCTAGAGCATGAAGGACCCAGTATCTACTGTGTCATTTAGTGGTATAGGCTTCCTTTTTGGTAAAAAATTGCCCAGTAAAGTGCTGTCACACTGCCAAGAACTGGAGAGAGGGGCTGTTACCCACTTTCTGTCTGCTACGCCAATCCCATTCACTTCTCATTCGCTCAGAAGCTGGAACTGAGTGCTTGAAATCTGACTCAGCAAGAAGCTTCAAGTGACTGTGATTCTGGTAATGATTCAGCTCTTTGGTTATCCATCCATCAGACAGCAGTGAATCGTGATTGAGATCCTCCTGCAGGATAGGTCCCGTCAGGCTCAGGTCCCAAATTCCTGCATGGCCATACAGGCACACCCTTTGCAATATTTCCTCAGAGGCCAAATGGACAAGGGATGCTCAGGCTGCTTAATGTAAGCCATGGCCATCAGGGACACCAAGAGGATAGGATGCAACCCAAAACTGAGCTCCAGTTGCTGCTGCAGGAACCACTGCCCTGCCCAGCTCCGTGTTCAGCAGCTTAGGCTTCCTGTGCCAACACTCCAAACTGAGTAGCCAAGGCTTCAATGGATAACCAGAAATAAAATAAGACAGTGACAGACCAGAGCCAAACGCCTTGTTACATCACATAGACAGAGGATCATGGCTTGGGAAGTATGGTGATTAATTTGTTTTCGTAGAGTAATTACCAATTAAACATTTGGTTAATGATTCTGTATGAATTAATTATAAACAGACTTCAGCCTAATTATAAGGACTCAATGAGATCATTAAGTTTTTTCTTTCAAAAGTGCTGCAGAAGACAGCAGCTGAACGCATATATCCAACTGGAAAATGGCACACGTTTGACATCACTGGTGCTAAAGAAGCCTTAAATTACACCCTGCTGTAATTAGCAGCTCAGTGGTGTACTCCTCTCTGAGCTTGACCCCTGTGATCGTGCCAGTGGTCGCAGCATGCAACCATTCTTCTACATCAGGCCTCTTTTCCTGAAAATATTGGTATTGTGTTGCTATTATTTATTTCATCAGATGAGCGGGCTTAAAATAAGCACTGCTCTCCAGGCTGACACGTGGCAGCACTTACATTGAGTTGAAAAATAAAATTGCACATAATGTGCTGCTTAGAAGAACATCCTCCAATCGCTGCATGTATACCAGCTGCGTGCAGCAGCCTAATGCTTCGCAGTTCCAGCTCCCCCATGGGGGTACATCTGCCAGATGTAAATATTAATGAAAGCAAACTGTGACAGAAAGATGAAGCTTCATTAAGCGCCATTATTACCCAGCTTCAGGTGCTAATGGGGCAGCTGCTTGGGGTGGGATGCTGTCACTCGTGCACACTGGTGAGGATGCTCTAAGGAAGTGAGGTCTTCAGGAAGCAATGAGCACGCTGCTGCTTGATGGTTTAGGGAGCAAACCCAACACAGCAACCAACTGCCGGGTCCCCAGGAGGATGTATGGGATGGGGAGGAGCTGGGGCACAGCCTAACAGCGTGACGTCCTCATTCTGTGCATTGCCAGCTCCGTTCCCACATTTTCCCCTCTCCCCCAGACCTGCATCCCACGCACCGATGGTCCCAATGCCACAGGGACCGTCAGAGGAACCAGGAAAAGCTGCAGCTCTCGTGCTCCTGTGGGATACGGGAGATTTCACAAGCTTTCCCAATCTGACACATTCTTCAAACGCTCTGCAGCTGTCAGAGCACTATTGTTCAGGTTCATATTGTGTTGGAGTTTGGGCTGTGTTTTTTTCTTTTTTGATGTCCCAACCATCGCAGAGCTTCAGAGTGGGAAAGAGGGGACTGCAGCTCCACACTGATCGCTGCCTCTCAGCCAGATCTATGTCTATTCCCCCAGCCCCATCTCTTCACTCTCCACCAAATTCCCTCTGCTCTGACACAGCGCCCGCTGCCCTCTCCCCTTGCTCCAGCTCAAGTTCCCATTGTTCCCATTCCCATTGCTTGCATTTCACTGTATCACTTAGTACTACCCCACGAGGAACACACTTGCACCTTGGTCCAGTAGCAAAAGGTTTGTTAATCTTCCCAGATGCTTGCATCCTTTCCCCTTCCCCCGCTCTGCCTGCATGCTGCTGTGCTCCATGAAATAGCAGTTACACAAGACTGCCGTGCTTGTGAAGCACAGCCCACCCCTGCACTGCCCAACATGACTCCTCCAACACCAGCTTGGAGGAGCCCCACAGACCAGGCAATCCTCTCCTAAGGCTATCCTGGGGAATTCATGTCTCCATTTAAACACACCAGTAGCAGAACCTTGCCCAAGGACACCAGCCTCAATGAAACACTGCTGACTAAAATACACAGCTCATGCTTTCTTTTTCCCATGTGTAAGACCTTAATGGCTGCTGCAGAAGCCAAAATAAAGACTGCCTAACTGGTATCAGGTGCTGGTGTTTCTGCCTTCCCTCCACCTGCAAACCTCATCAGCACTCATTCCTGGGAAAGGCCAAAGTACCCTGAGCAGCCTGGGAGCCTGGAGGGAGTTAATGAGAATTGGTAGCACTGGGGTAGGGACAGGTAGATTTATGGGGATCACGTAGGTCAATGGGCTTATTTGTTCTCTCCTCATCTGTTCCCACCTGTGTCATTATCTGGGAAAGGATTACAGGCAGGACAGCCAGTGCCTTCATCTCACCACAGCTTTGCTTTTCATGTCTGGGTAACGATTGCTCTGGGCAGAAACCTCACTTGGATTCTGCACACATTCGTACCCGCAAAAATTGAGAGAGAGAACGTCTATCTAGACAGATATGGATCTGTGTTTGTGGGCCAGGACACAACAGTAGGCAGCCTGGTGCCTGTATGGGAGGAATGTGTCCCTTTACCACTTCCAGGTATCCTCTCATCGCTCCCTGTAAATAGGTTCTGAATGGAAGCCAGCTTGTTTCATGTCCATGAGTCACTTCCATCCCTGCCCATTGCTTTGCTGGGAAGGGCCCTGTGTAAGCTCCTTTGTTTAACGCCTGGCTCTGCTCCTCTCTGGTAGGTGCTCCTTGCCAAAAGCATCATCTTGAACAGAGCTCCAAGTAAAGTTATGAAGTCATATATACCAACATAATTAGGTTTTGGAGAGGGAAGAGAGCTCAGCTAGCCACAGCCACTGGGGCAGGAGGCACTACCGATACCTAACAGTGGTGAGATCATTTTCTCCCTAAAACAGCATCTGGAGGGGTTCAGGTTTATAGTGAGTGAACTTTTCAGCTGCTGCTTTGCACCAGGTGGGGTAACTGGAAGCCCAGGCCCAACCTGGCTGAGGCTGAGAGAGCGTTGTCAAAGATTTTAGGATGCTCTGGGTCAAGAAATGAAGGGCTGAAGTACTTGACTGGAGAAGGAACCTTTTAGCTGATTCCAGAGAAATTCCACACCCTGCACTGTCTGTGCGAACCTTTCCACTGACTTTGAAGTCAGCTTTTCCCTAAGGGCAGGCGGATTAACAAACACTGTGACCGAGTCCCATTTCCTCCTTTCCAAATGAAAATCTAACATCAGCGATTGAGAAAGAAGAACCTGCATTGTAATAAATCCCCACAGTTACGCTTTTGTTATGAAAGCGCATCTTTTGCTGCGGTTTGTTTGTTTTGTTTCATGAATTAACTTTGTGTATTCGCGAGATTAAAAGCTTAAATGGGATCAACGAAGACTACACAGCGTGCATCAAAGTCACTGCGGATTGTTTTTGCAGACTCCAGAAGAGCAGTAATGTCGAAGTGCTGCGGGTTTAGAGCAATAATTATGAATTTTTCAAATCGAGAGATGAAAGGAAATACGGTGTCGGTATGCTGGGCTGAACCCAATAGTTTGTTGTTTCCAGCACACTCTTAGGGCAAAGGTACACCACGTCTTCTTGAAGGCAGCAATCCAATCCTCCGATCACTTTGAGAAAAATCACTTGCAGTCCGTGTACAGGATGTTAACTATGTGGAAAAGTAATAAAGCGGCGTAAGCCTCAGAGAGAATCACAGGAACATCCAACGCTGCCTCCCATCCTTTCTACTCGGAGCAAAGCTGTATGGAAAATATATTAAAATCATGAGTTCAGCTCCGCTTTCCAGATGGCATCATATGATATGATATTTGCTGGCATTTGCTTAAAACTAGACTCTTCTGATCCAGAAGGGTAAAGCTTGTAATATTCTCATCTTCCAAATCCTTGATTTCAGATGTTGGCCATTCTCATAAATTACCACGTACAGCCAATAGAAAGCAGCTATTTTCTACATAGTGGAAATAAGAGAGATTTGTGGATTTGGTATTACATAGTGTGAGCTATTTTAACACGCTGAATGTATAGGAACACTGAATTTAATATTCTCAGAATAAATCACACCCAATTTCAAGGCAGAATTCCTTCCCTTCTCTGCTCTGTTGAATTCAGACAACCCCAGATATTTGGCATGACCTCGTTTCAATGCACCCAATGCATAAACCTTTGTGTTTAAAACCTCTTCCATACAGCCTCACTCGGTTCAGCCAGAGTTCTTAGTAATTGGGAAGGTGATGGCTGAAGAGGACCAGTGGCAGGATGAGACCAGGCAAAGGGCTGTGGATGGGGAAGCCACACTGGCTGCCCTACCTGTGTTCCCATTTCCAACCCAGCCAGCTGCTTGTGGACACTGGGATGAGCTGGCACCAACTCAACCAAAAAGATCCATTTGAGACTACTGCCACTGACCTGTGATCATGACAGAAGCACTCACAGACGCACTAAATAGTTGGAGTGGGTCTATTTTGAAGAGAAGTTGTCTGCACACGTAGCAGGAATGGGAAAAGACGTGTTTCATCAACTTGTGTGGTGTCTGAAAGAGGTGACATAGTTGGCAGTAAGGGGAGCGTGTTGCAACGTTTCTCAATTGCAAAGAAAACACTGAGCTGTGCTTTTCTGGACAGATCCTCATCTGGTGTAAATCAGCGAAGCTTCACCAACGTCAAGTTGCTCCTGGATGCTGTTGTCAGGTCTTCCACAGTCAACACTATGGAAGCCTATAGTTGCACATATTAAAGTAATCAGGAACATTTTCATTACTGACTGTGCAAGTGAAATGAAGACAGACATAATGGAAATGCGCTCAAAAAATTTTACTGACAAAGATTTTAAATAAAAATGCTTTTTTTCTCTTGTGTACGACTGTTGTCTAACAGATGCCATTAATACAATGGAAGGATTGTAGTGGAGGGGAGAGGAAATGTATTTCCCAATTCCTACTGGAAATTATGTCTCTGCTTAATTCCTCCAAGCAGCTTAGATTCAAATAATTCTTATTTCTTCCCGCTGGCCGTTTCCCATGGCTGCACATCCCTTCTGCATTGGCACTGTCGTTTCACAGCTGTCACACATTCCCATGAACAAGAGGTCACCGTTGGCCCTGCACAGTCTATACTGGGGGAACAGCAGGTATGGATAAAAGGCAAAAAGGACATTTTCAATTTGCAGATTATTTGCTGACTTTGTGAATGGATTTACTATCTTTCATCTTTGTAAACACGGGAATTTTCTCCCCTTATCTGTGTGGTCACCTCTCTCACTGGGTCTTGAATGCAGCTGCACAAAATGTGTATCCATGTCCCAACCAGCATGGCAGAACGTGGGTTCTGCAGGAGAATCAGGGAATTCTGTGCCAATTCTGTGTTACTGGGGGGATTCACTCTGACCAAGAGGTCCTGGGAGTTCCTCTACTCTTGGCTGGGAGGGAGCAAGTTCTCTTCAGGGAACAGCCATAGAAAAACACAGTTCTGATCTTTACCCTTCTCCTTCATCATGTTTTCTAGAGCAAATTTTCCCCATCAGACATTTCCCTGCTGCTTTCTGCTGTCATTACAGAGTCCAGCTTCTCACTTACTGTTTTATTCAAAGGGAGAAGTATATTCCATATTCATACAGATGTTCACGTGGCTATGGCTTTCAAGAATTTCTAATTCATGTCAATGTTAAACCAGTTTCTGCCTTTTGCTGACAAACTTGCTGCTTTTTTCTCAGGACACCAAGCAGCCAGCACCAAAATTCCAAGTGTTTTTTTCTTCTCCCCATCTTCCCTCTTTGTTCTCCAAAATTTCTGTCCTGGTGAGAAACTTGTCACACGTTGATGGGCCAATGCAGAGCTCTGCTTCTGTTCTGTAGTAAGGGACGTATCCAGTGGAAGAAAAGCGCCAGTCCAGGCTTGGCAGTGAGGTGGAGAGGGAGAAGGTTGGCAGGCAGCTTCCTAAGGTGCTGCCTCCCAGGAGCTGCTGGGATGTTGGCTCTACATTGGCCATGGAAGAACACAGCGTCCTCTCTGCCCCCAGAGCTGGGTGGGTGGTCTGTAATAAACACATACAGGAGTTGAGGCGTGGATACATGGAAGAGTGGGGTTGACACATTGGAATGATCATTAGTTATGTGCCCTTCAAGGAAGGATGAATGCCAGCTGTTCGGTGGGAATGCTGCCCAAAGATATCCATAGCCATGGGGGGGGATTTCCCTTGCAATTTACCTTCTCAGCATCTCCACCAAGCTCTGCACATTCACCTTCTGCTTCATCTTTCCAGTTGCTTTCAGGCTTCTCTCCCTCTGCATTTAAGCCATATAAGAGAGGCTGGACAAAGTGCTCCTCATTTGATCTGTAATATGGAAAATATCCTGTGGAGATGGCTGAATAATTCACATTCTCCTTCTTCTCTGAATAAGCCTTGCTGTCACCAAAGCTTGCTTCTGTTTCTGCGTTGATCTACAAGGCAAGGAGGGAAAGAAGGGCCCATAAAGACTGGTACCTCCTTCCACCTCTGCCACAATCTGCTTCAGATAAACGGAGGTGGTTAGAAATTTCCCATCAAAGCCATTTATGATGGAAAATGGAAAACATTTGAAACAGAGCCTACTTGCACTGCAAATATTTGTATTTTGTTAAAAGCTTATAAGTTTCAAAAACTAGTTATGATACAAAAAAAGTACAGCTCTTTGTTTCTGAGCCATGAAGCAGTTTCCCAGGAAGAGTTCTCCTTAAAATCCAAATACAAGTTAGCTTCTTTATTCTCAAGCAGTCTTTAGTGACTGACACAGGCTCTTTCATGTTTTCTTTGTCCTGATGAAGGGTCACAATAAGTAGACTTCAGAAATAAAAACCCGATCTCCAGCCCTTCCTGTCTGATTTTTTACTCCTGTTTGGCACAGCACAAAACCAGAGACAGCACTCCTACCTGATTTGAGGTTAAACTTCCCGACTGCATGGCCTTCCTTGACAGATTCCAAACCAAAGCCATGGCATTCCCACGGCTGATTTAGACTGATTATTGGTCTCCTGAAAATCTTGGCAGATCAGTGGTGCTCCTGAATGCTCTGGAAATGGAAGAATACTGAAATTTCAGTAGAGTCTTAAAAAAAGTTGGTTCAACCCTCTTTTCCTCCTGATATTTTCTTTTTGAATTTTCCACTCAAACCAATAGGCACATGCAATTCAAGGCTTTGATTGAGTTTGGGCCTGATGTTTCAAATCAACTCCCATTTTATTAATTGAAAAGTCCATTTATCAAGTTATCATAATTACGAGACCTCATCTCCTTGAAAAATATAGTAATGTTATAGCCATATAGAGTCTCTACGATTTTTTAGTATTTTAAATATAGCTTACAAATACCTCATTCAAAGGGGCCTTAATCTACACATTTAGGTAACACAAGTGCAACCCAAGGGTTCCCAGGGGAGAGACAGAGGGTATTTTTATGGTTACCAGGTGTCCAAGAAGCACTGAAGAAGAGAAAGCCTGTGGGGAGAGCATCATCCCACATCCCTTTTGTTCCCTTGGTGATGGGGTTCCATGGCAGCATCACAAAGTAAGTGGGACTGTTGTCCCACTCCTGGTTGCTTTTATCCCTGTCAGAGAGAAAATAAATGACTGAGATAACCCCCTAGAAATGATCATTTTGGATTTAAGATTTCACTGCATTTGTCATAAAACCCATCTTTTAGAAGCAGGTTGGTTCTGTCCATTGTTGGTCTTTTTTTCCATGGCTTTGGTTTTGTCAAGTGGTTATCACCCAAAACTAGAAAGAAGAGATAGGAGGTATCCTACAGAATCCCCAGTTTTACCCAGTCAGCACATGCTTAGAAGCCATCATTTACTCCAGAAACCTTTAACATTTACACTGCTTGCTGCTCAAATTCTTAAATGAGCAGCCCTCATCTAAGAGGGAAAAATGAGGAAAAACTCTACTTGAAAGTTCCCACACATTTTAAACCACCAGCAATTATGACAGCATGGGCATTTCATTGCTTGGCACAAGGATTACATCTCTTGGTGAAAGCCATCAGTCCTTAGCTGGGTAGGGGTGGATGGGGCTGATGAGAGCTCACTGTGCTCCTGAGCTTTCTCCACGTTCTCTTGAAAATGAAACAAGCATTTTTTTTCCAGGTTCCAAGAATGATGAGTCAGGGTGACTTCACCAGCACAGAGCACAGAAATCACCCATCTGATCCGGGAGGAAATTTGTATTATGGCAATACATGTATGATCTTCATCCAGGGAACGTGCTGAATAGAGACTTCAGAAAATGAACTGCTTTTGTTTTCAGTTCTCTCTGGCTATGAAAACTGTCCTCTCCATCCCTTCAGTGAGCCCAACCAGCACCTCAGGGCCACTCCTCCACCGCCCTCTGCAGCCCCACAGAGCCACAGGGCAGCCAACGTGACTCACATGGAAGGATAAGTTTCAACAGAAATAGCATCAGATTCAGGCATTTTTTCCCCATTTACATACTAATCGCTCCAAAGGCAGAGATCAGTATTAATTTCCTTTTTCTGTGACAGAATAATGCTGCTCTCTTTGGCTGATACATGCACAAGGAAGAAGGGAATGCCTCAGTTGTGCCTTTCAAGGCGTTTTCAAAAGCCACATATTTCCATACTTTCATAAAAGTACTTACTATATCCTGTAAATATATAGAAGCACACAAAGACTTCCTGACACCTCGCATCGAAATAGTTATCATCTCCTTTCCTTCATTCAGGTGGCAATTACTTTCTGCTAAATGACAGATAACTTTCCTTATTGCCATAACAGCGTGCGTGTATTTCAGTGTTTAACTGGCAAGTGTGACAAAGTGGAGCACATACTCTAAGAATACATTAAAAAAGCCCATAAATAACTGAGTCACTGAGAAATTCAGAATAAGATTCATCCTCATACAGCATTCAATCTATTTACCAAAAATTCCAGAACTCTAAAGCACAGGGATGATTGTGAATAGCCTGAATTATTATTCATCCCATTTATTATCCTCGTTGCTGCCTGAAGTAAAATGCGTTTTATTATAATGTGATTTCTCAACTGCATCAGGATGATATAGCAGCAGCTAATGAAGTGTTCAGGCACCGAAAACCCTGGCTTCATTGAAATTCATTACCACAAAAATACTGCCAGAACTAATTGCTGTCAGGGGCTGCTTACGCATGTGCCTTAGTTCCATTTCCCAAAATGACAGAGCTAACGCTGGTACGAGCAAACAGAAAAAACCATCAAAGGGGAAAGGAGCAGCCCCTGAGCTCCCATCCCCTCAGGTGCATCCTTTGCAGTGCGTGCCCATGGGATGTGCTCAGCCCTCAGCCTGGCAGCTTCCTCCAGGAGCCAGCACTGCTGCCGTGCCCAGAGCAGGCTAAGGATTTCTTTGTCTTTAGTTGAAAGGTAGCATCTTTCTGTAGAGGAAATTCAGGGAGAACAACTGAACAGGGCAGGGTCTTAAGGTAAAGATGGAGAATCTTTGTTGTCTTCAGCATGCTCAAATTTAGGCCTCTTCTCCCAGGTAACAGCAAGAGGATGAGAGAGAATAGCTTTAAGTTTTGTCAGTGGAGGTTCAGGCTGGGTATTAAGCAAAAATTATTCTCAGAAATCTCACTGGCACAGACTGCTTGGGGAGGTGGGGGGGGTCCTCATCCCTGGAGGTGTTCAGAGCTGGGGAGATGTGGCACCTGGGACACGGTCATTAGGCACGGTGGGATGGATTGGGTTTGGACCTGGGGCCTTAGAGGTCTTTTCCAACCTTAATGATGCTGTGATTCGATGATTCTATTCTGATTTTCCAGCATGTGGGCAAGGCACGGGCTTTGAGACAAAGAAGGATGTGGGATGTGATGGCAGAAGGCAGAGGAGAGCAACAGAGCTGCCTGAAGGGATGTTCCAGCCACCCTGTACCCCTGGGTGCCCCCCACCTCCTGCTCCCCTTGCACCCACCCCTATACAAGGCACAGATCCTCCCTGTGCTCCAAAACAGATGCCCTCACTCTGAAAAACAGACCCTCTTTCCGAGCTGGGAATGCTTCTTTCCAAAGCAGCCAGGAAGAAAGGGAGACGAATCTGTGAGCACAGCCGAAGTCTGTGAAGCAGGGACTGCTGGAGGAGCTCACTGTACAACCCAATTTGCGTGATGTCTGAGCATTCCTCTTTCAAAAGTCAGCTCAAGCAGATTGTTCCAGATTCCCCTTGCCAGAATCCTTGGGATGGGTCCAAGGGAATGATCTTGACTGCTGCAGGTGGGTTATGGACCCCCTGGGAGGTGCCTGAGGTGTCGGGGAGTTCACTAATTACACTCATTACAGCTTTTAGGGGAAGGATGCTCTCAGCATAGCAAGTCACGGTGCTCGGAGAAGGACACCTTTCAGACACCTCCTGATGTGAGCAAGGTGAAGAGGGTCATTTCTCCTTGCATTTGTACCTTCTGGAGTCCAGCTTTGCTCCAGAGGTCAGTGGGAGGAAAGCTGTCCTTTTTTGGAGCCTTCCAGTGTTTTCCATAACAACTTCCCTCCAACTTCAGACCTCTGTGACTTGGCCAGTTTGATCCAACAAAGACAACTTTTATTATCTTACTGAAAAGCCTGGATGTGCTCCTATGTCATGCTTGCTACATACACATTTTTAAGCATTAGTCATGCCACAACATCTGCTTTTTATTGGTAATTACACTATCCACATTTTAATAAGAGGTAATTCTTAAATTTCTCATAAAATATATACGACTCTAGGGAAAGAAGGTGAAAGGTTTTGCAAGCCTCTCACAGCCACAGGACCAAAATGAGTGGAAATAAATCCTTCCCAAGCAAAACTTGTACAACCCCTCGCGGCAGCACATCCAGGGATTTCGTGTGATTTGCCGTCCCCTTTTCTCCTAATTGTTCACGCTCTGTAGAACAGACCTGCACAGTCTGTGTGCTGCAGCCCTTCTGGGTGCTATTAATTTGCTCAAAAATAGAGACCCGGTGCTAAAACTGCCCATACATGGACACCCCCTCCTGGGGGTGACCTCCTTGGAATTAGCGCGAAGGGGGTTCTGTGAGATCAGCTCAGAACTGGGGAGCAGTAAAAGTTTTAAGGCTGTTTCCACATGTTGTAGACACCCCAGAATTGCAAATAGGTGTCCGGATTAATGGGCCGTGGCTTGTTTTCTTATGTATTGGAGGCTCAGTTGAAACAGAGTCAATACAGTATGGCTAAAAAATAAAGCACAGCTAAAGCGGAAGATGAAAATCTAGATAAAGCATCATAAAAAAATCTTTCAGGGTCCATTAAAATCTTCCTGTTCTCCATTTCCCCCCCTCTCCTTGCAGGTGAGTGTTGATGTGCTGCTCTGGCCATGGCAGAATTTGGCTCTTTGATTCCTCAGAATGTTTCCAGGGATATTATCCAGCCATTCTGGAAAATCTGACACTTGACAAACGACACTTCTGCAAGGTCATCCTTAAACCTTTGAGAAATGGGGAGCTTTTTCAGTTGCCCCTGAATGCCAGCAGCCAAGCCCATATGGAGCATTGTGGGCTGAGCTCGTTGTTGATGCAAATGCATACGACTAGTTTTGATTAAAAGCAAAATGCAGAACTGACTCAAACTGCCTTTTTGTTTGAAAAGCTTCAAGCTCCTCATTATCATCAGGCTTTCTTTCAGGGCAGGAAATTGGAATTTCCATGAAATAATGCTGGAAGGCACATGGTAAAGTCAAAGAACATGTAAGTTCGGAACAAATGGAAGGATAAACGTGCAAAACAAATTTGGGGACCCTCAGCTAAACGTTTGGGGGCACATTATGGCCCGTGGGTTGTTTAAATTATGCTATGTGTATAAATCAGCCATATACACCAGCAGCACACAGCAGTGGATTCGAGAGCTCTTTTCCATATGCACAATTACTCATGGCTACACACTATGTAATTATGGCATTCAATAGCCAAGAAAGGTTTGCATTGTGGTGTGCCTGGCTTGTATGGTTTTCATGTAAACAAGGAGCTCATTCCAGAGCCCAAAGAGACTTTGTGCAACTCCGTGGCTGCTCGGCAGTGCTTGGGAATGCAGTGCCAGGAGGGATGTGCTGAGCACAGCCAGCATGCAGGTGAGCCAGCACCGACCTTCCTCCCTGGGATGTCCTGGCTCATCAGAAAATCCTCGTGCCAAGGGAAACTGGAAAGTGGCAACAGCTTTCTTCTGTCTTTCAACACCAGGATGAATCTGGCAGGAGAACCTCTTCATTTTTATGGGGCTTCAATCATAGCCAGGACTGGCAAATGAGAGCCGTTGGTGTTTCCCAGCATAGGAGCAGGCTACTCTGTGTGCAATGTTACAGAGTGGTTTCTTAAGTTTCCACAAGGAGGAAAATAAAAGGAAGCACGTTTTTGCCAAAGTCTATATTAAAAAGCTGTAGTTCGGTTATAAAGAAAAGCTCTCTGGAATTAGAGAATTGGGGAATTGAAATTGCTTTGTCCCATGCTCCATATTGCAGATTTTAATAACAAAACCAGTTATTTCCTTGTGTTTTCTGCCTGCCTTCTCAGCTCTGCAGTGGCACTCAGGTCAGATTTTTCAATGGGGATGGAGAGAAATGGCTTTAAGACATCGATCTGCAGAGAATATGGTGCCTCTGAGCAGGTGGGAGCCTGCAGATAGGTGACCACTGCTTCACTCTGCTCACACGTGGCATTACTGGAAGAGAAGCTGCCTTTGGGACATATACTTTTCATTCCAGAAATACTTGCAGAAATTAAAATGTATTAAAAACCTGAAAGTAATTAATGAGATGCAGATTAGCCATCTAAGCACTCACGGAGGTGTCAGGATCTCACCTTCATCCCCAAGAGGAAAGCACACTCTGGTTCTACCTTCAAACATCTTTTGCTCTGGTAGATGAAATGGGATTCACTTTTCCACTGCTGTAAGAACAAGAAAACCAATTATTTTTACTTTGTTATTGTTGTTCCACCACAAACAACACATCACTGTATCTTCAAGGCAGACCCAAAAGGAGGAAAAGTATTATGGCTGACATCACATAAGACCTGTAAGGAGCTTAAAGCAGACAGAAGAGAGGGAAGGTGCACGGGGGATTGGCACTGTAAGGCTTTCTTAAAACAAACCTTTCATGCTGGAAGGTGACAGCAGAGAGAAAACTCCATGTGTGTTTAAAAAACAGGTCATCTTTAAGACATGAGCAAACAGCCCTGTGGTGGTCATTTGTCTTTGCTGTCAAGAGGAAAATTAAGGCTCCAGGGGACACAGAGGCCAGGTTTGATGGATGCTCGCAGCAGAAGACAAGTGGGTCAGCATTCCAGTCTGCAATAAAGTCGTGTTCTTTCCCAGGAGAAAAGTTACTGCACAAAGAATACACCTGTAGGGAAGAGAGAGGGGATGGGAAGAAAAACAGTGGAAAGCCACACAGATTTTAAACAGTGTCTCTTCTTGTTTGGTATTGACAGGAATCACGCTTCTTCAGAAAAGAAAACTACATGCCATGAGCTGGGGGCTTTCTGTAGCTGGCTGAGTGCTTTTGTGAGCAGAGCACACACATCTCCATTAACTTTAGCAGACAGATCTGAGCAGCAGGTGTCCACATTGTGTGTTTTCAGAGGGGATCAGTCCCAGTACCAGCTGACCATTAGTGACCAAGCACTTGAGCGAGCGGGAGCACATCATCTGTGCAGCATCCTCCAAAAGCCAAAAAGCCATCCAGTTCACGAGCTGCAGCACCACGAGCCAAGGGGAGCACACTGCAAGAGGAGATGATTGGGGTATTTGCTTCCAGATTCCTGATCCTAAGGACAATGCTGACATAGTCATACCTGGATATGGTACCTGTGGGTTGGAACAACCTTCCTCAGCCTAGGGGGAAAAAAGCCTGCAGGAGACTCATGGCAGTCAGATGGTGGCTCTGACTGGTGTGCTGCTGGTTGAGAGGGTCCTCTCTGCTCCTCTCCATCCTCTTGCTAACTGTGAAAGCCCATGTCCTGTGACAGACTATACCACGCAGTTGTGTAAATCCAAAACATCCCTCAAAAAGGAAATGAAACTTCTATTTCTGTTTAAATCAATGCACAAGAAAACATTGCCTCTTGGATGTCTTTATAGCTCTTCTAGATCAAAAATCCTGTCCATGCTCTTAACACATACACTCACAGAGGACATCTAATATCCCAGACCCATTTTAAAGGATATGCACACCCAAATCAGCTCTGCAACATATACATTTCTGCTTGAAAGCAACATGAGAGTCCTGCAGGCATCTTACTTCAGCGAGCGAAGATACAGTGAGTCATGCTGTTAGTTTTACTGATTTTGTTTAGTTTTGCTTTCTGATCAGATTCATTTCACCATAAGACATTGAATCTGGTGATTGATGTTTGGCAGATTTCAGCTGAGCAATCTATAGCCTTGGGTTACTAATATGTTTAAATATTATGTATATATTTTGTGATAATATTTCGATATTGACAACTGCCAGTGCTGGAGGAAAAGCCACAGGTAGGCTCCAAATCTTGAGACTATCTTAAATGCTATTAAAGGCTTTCAACTTTGTAATTAAATTAGGATTTCTTCATCTACTTTTTCTATGTTAGCACTGAGGATGCACTGAGGTCTTTAAACCGACTTCTCTGCAGGGCTCACATAATCACGGGCTCCAGGAGAGGGACTTTACAGAAAGCACAGCATATAATGAGACATGCTAGTAAGCTGCAGAGTTTGGCAAGCACAGAGATCTCTGGAGAGACTCAAGGTGTTTATAGACATTTCAGCCACCATAGATCATAAGAACTCGCCTTTAAATTCTCAGCATCTGCAGCTGTTTCAGAGCAGGTACAGAAGATTCTGTGACACAGGGCAGGACTGCACTGAGAGCAGTGTCTGAGCACAGCATCCCTTCCATCACTTAATCCCCAGGAAGGGACAAGCTCCTCCCTGCCTGCAAACCTCCCCAACACAGCGTCCTTAGAAACATGAGAAAATTAGAAACTATACTTCTGTCCATCTTGTGGCTTTGAAAAGGGAGGAATAAAGGAAAATGCTCTTCGTGTTCCAGCACTCCTCCACTTGTACATACTCATGGTGGGCCATGAACCATCAGTTGGACCTTCTGTTCATGCTGGTCTGGTTAGCCATTCCATTTGTTTTAAGGAATATATTCTCCACTTGGCCTTCAGTTCTGAACATCCGGGAAGAATGGAATCGTTCACAGTTGCAGCAGCTCTGTAGCATTGCGTTTGCTGGAAGCTTTGACTCTTTTTTCCTCTGGCAAACTCAATGGTGGAGCTGGAAAACAGGTCCACAACTGTCCTTGGTGCCTCTGGGATCATCTCAGGCTTGGATTTCTAACACAGATGCTCAACTCCTATTCACTACTTACTGCAGCAGCGTCTGCAAGCAGCTCAGCTCCTCCAGATTTAGGTGTAAATGACCTCTGGTGCTTGTCCTGCTGCAAGGACCCCCGTATCCCTTGTGCCCCCATAGGGGAGGATGTAATGTGCAGGAGCACATTCCCAGGCCCTGACAGCACCTCCCAGAGCTGTGCGGGAAGGGAAGGACTGGGCTGGCTTTCAGGCTCCCCTGCTCACCCAGGAGCAGGGCTCAGAGCACATTTGCTAAAGCCGCTTCTGTGTTTTTCCCAAATTCCCTGCTTAATACTTCCAGTACGATTCCAAAGGAAAGTTAATCCTTAAGCAAGGGTCAGCATGCAAACTGCTACGAGATCGCCACGTGTGCACCCATATCTTCCCACTCGCCGTCATGAGGGACATCAACAGCCACCATCAGCTTCGACCAAACTTAAGCACAGTTCTCCTGCGACTGAGTTTGCCCAAAGAGGTGGCTTAAAGGGAAAGAAATGGAGTTCACCCACGCAAGGCTCAAGGGAAATTTGAATTCACTCTGCACAGTTCCCTTGATCCAGAAACCCAATTTCAATATTCACACTTCCCTGATCCAGCACTGTGAAAATTTGCCATTTGCTCTACTCCAGTGAGCTGCGCAGGGCAACAACGCCACACTCCTGAGTGTTACGAAAAAGAGATCAGTTTTTCTTAAATCACAGATACATCTGAATCTGTATTTAAAGCAAATGACAAAACCGTGCGCTGTTGGAAGGAGCCAAGTCAGGCCATGGTCAAGCTAGAACTAAGATCTGCAAATACACCTTCAGAATCAACTCAGGCTCCCCTGTGATGATGGGCTGGCAAGCTTTAAGCAATGCTCCGAGCCTGGAATTTGCTCTGCAGGAGTTGCGGTTGGGTTTCTTTTTGTTGCTGTTGTTTTGCAATGCCATAATAAGTGTTGGTGAATTTGTAAATCATAAAAGTTTGAACCATGGGTGGGTGCCTTCATCCAAGGACTAGAACAAACATTTTTGGTGTCAGCCCATTCCAGAGGGATTTTCAGTCTTATAAATTAAAAAATAATAATAAAAAAAAATTAGCAAAAAAAGCTAAACAAGCAACAGCTGTTTGGAACTAGGCCCTTAACCCAAAGTATATAAATGGTGTCCAGACAAAAAGCTCAGAGACAGGGACCAAAAAAATGCTCAGCACAAGAACTGCAGGGTGATTTCTGGTTATTCTGCTCTCAAGACACTGGTTTTCATCCAGCTACAAGGAATTGACTCTTTTCAGTGATGAGAGACATATGACTTGCAGACCCACAGCCACACTGACCTGGTGGGCATGAGTAACCCCAGTCCCCTGTGACGATGAGTGACACCTTTGGGACTCACCCCTACTGACTGTGCAGGGGCTGCAGATTAGGAAACATTTATAACTGCTGAATTAGGAAACCACCCATAGAAATCCAAGCAAACAAGAGATAACAAGAGAATAAGCGTCAAAAGAAACTGCAGCAATTCTGGACAGCCACCGACAGCCTCCTGTCAAGGAGCTGTAGACTCACACAGTCCTCAGCTGAAATAGAAGTATTAATGTGTTTGGAAGGTATTTGCCCTTTGGACATCCATGTTTTTGTTTTGAGCTTCAGAAACATAAATTACAGCCATTTAAAGCCCAGGCTTACATTTTACTTCAATGACGTAAATGAGTTCCCAACTTTCAAAGACCAGCTGTCCCTTACAGCAAGAGGTTGCAATTATATAAAATTCTTTTATTGCATGGAGGTATTTTCAGTCCTTTAAGTTTATGTGCCCCAGGTGAAGCAATATAAACAAACTATAGCTGTCGCAACTGTGTTAATAATGGCAACTGCATTTGGGAAGTTTTAGGGATAAAGCCTATAACTTTATACTGCTAAGGTGTCAAACCTTTCAAATGTAAAACAGAAAGCGCAGCTGGGGAAGACCTCAAGAAAGGTTTCTGAAAAGCCAACATTCACAGTCTCTTCAGATATTACAAAGGCAGTAGCTTCCAAGCTGCAGTCATTAACAAGAACTGCTGGAAAAAATAAGGTTAAGAATACGTTTTAACTGATCTGAGTTTTTGGTGAGTTTCAGACACACAGAGTTAAATCCACCCCAATCCAGCCTCAATGAGACCCGTATTTTACAGACGTGCATGTATTCTTAGCCAATGGAGCAAGATGAGGTACAGTATGAGTGTGGGTGTGCTGAAGGAACACTAGAACACAGGTCTCAGCTCAGGGAAATGCTCCTCAGCTGCAATGCTCGAGCTTTCCACTGTGAATTTCCAGTCCCTTGGTTTAAATGGACTTGTCAAAAATGGACTGAACCAGACAAAACAAATGTTTGCCATAGTGCAAGAGCTGGGTTGGCTTGTTTGTTTGCTTTTCCTTTCCTCCAGCCCCTGTAGATGAGTAGAGAAATGCCATTACCTTAAATACCTCTTTGAATGTTCAAAGCCAACAAAGCACATCAAAAAGCACTGATGTGCCTATGGATGGCTCTGATTTTCTGCCCCTTCCAACCTGAGAGCATGGAGCAGCAGCCAAGAGAACACAGTGTTCCCAGCTGTGCATGCACCTGGAGCTAAGCTTATTCTCTGTTCTAATTTGAACATTGTGGAGTAGTGGGGAAGTGAAGAGAAGCTCATAAGTCAGTGGCCAGGATGTTTAGGCCGGTGCTGAGGGCAGCAAGGAGAGGTGGGCTCCAGCAAGGCAAAGACTCTGAGGCAGAGGAAGGAAGGTTTGGATGCAGCACACGTCTCGTGCTTGGTGAGCTGACAAGGAGGAGAATTAAACTTCAAAGGCACCCATTGCACAGCTGATGACATTTAGGAAGAAAAGGGAAATTGTTGCTTTTCTAGAAGATTTACAAATGCCATCCGTGTCCATGGGTGTAATTTTCCATTAAGGAAAAAAGAATATCTTAAGTAACATATGGACCATGCAGTAAAGAAGTTACCATAGCAACCAGCTTCCTAAAAATCCCTACATATGTATACAGGAAAAAAAAATGCATGTAGTAATTATAGACGCATGTCTCAAGTCATTTATAAGCCTCATCTTCCTAGCAACACTTTTTTTCTATTAAAAATCTAATGCATGCTTCTGACATCAGCTTACTGTGCTGCTTCTTGAACCTGCAAAGTCAAAAACATCACAACTGACAGTCAATGACAACAGAGCAAAATCTAATTTAACTAATTCAAAATATGTGCTTTAAGCATTAAAGCATGGTTATGGAACCAGAATGAACTGAGATCTGGGACTACAGCTGAGCTGACATTTAAGTTCAGAAAATGCTAGATGTTAAAAATAAACAGATGAAAGGGTGTGGGCCCCCAGAAAAGCATTTAAGAAAAAAAGGAAGGGAAAAAAAAAGGTGAATTACCAGGGCAGGAAGGAGGTTGGGGTTTACATCCCCTTTGCACTGTGCTCCTGGTGTGGGGATCGATGGGACGTGCCATAGGTCGCCTCCTCTCATTCCCAGTTCTCCCATCACGGCAGGCTCAGGGACCTGCATTTCTTCTCTATTACTTTTTGTAATAGTGTTTGAAGGGATCTTAAAGACTTTGTGGCTTGCCACAGCATATTTCCACATTTCTTCTGTTTTCCATCATCAGGAACCAGAGGTCTGCCTTGCTGTCTGCTGGTCACCCTGGAAATTTAACAAAGATGGATTTCCTAGATGTCCAAGCCCTGCTGCTGAGAGGAGATGAGGATATGGGGTCAGCGCAAAGAGAAGACCTTCTGCAGACACAGCTGGCTGTGGGATGGGAGGCCACAAAAGAATTCAACCTTGTCTTCCAGATCCCGCTCTAAGAGATTCGGCGAGGAGACACTGCACCCTGGTCCCTGGGGCACAGTCATGTCCTCTCAGCTGGCCAGAAATGGGGAGGATTCATCATTAATTAAACATAAATTTGGCAGCCTGATGTCACAGTCCTTGAGCTGACAAATAGTAAATGCTGAAGGTCAGCTGTAAATCAGCGCTGGGGAATGTGTTCAGCTGCACCCAAAGCCCCAGGTGGGGCTCAGGTCTCCTTTTGATTTATCTTCAGCCAGCAAACAAATCAATGCAGTGATGAACAAATGAGTGGGTTCTCCCTGCCTACTGTTGTTACAGAAAGACCCTCGCTGAGATTCCACACGTGCCCCAACCCAGTGGCACGGGGTCTATTCTGTTAAAACATTTTCTTTCCATCACACCTGGCTCCCATTGCTGCGAGTGGAATCTGGCTCTGAGTGAGCTCTGCCAAAATCTGAGCTCCAGCTCAGGGGATCCTGCGGCCCTGCTGCACAAACAAGGCTCTGCCATCACAGCAGCAGCTGGTCTGAGGAAGACACTCACTTCCTTTACAAAACAAATCATCTGAGGTGTCAAGAGAGTACCTGCCCACTGCTGGGATATTTCACAGTCCCTCCATCCTCCAGTTGCTGTTCCCTTCCTTGGTCAGAGCATCACCTGTGCAGGCTCCATGCAAAAGGAGCCGCATTTCAGCCTTTGACACCTTCTGTGTATGCTACCTCCACATGCATATCTTTAAAGCACCTCGAACTGCTCATTCCTTCACCATTTCAAAGCAAGTTAAGCAGTTGGTGAGAAGACAGAATAGGGAGAGGCCCAGCAAATGTGTCTTCTGAGGGAATGTGTGGTTCTTAAAGAGACATTTCTCCTGCTCTGAACATTGACAGAGAGCTAATAACAGTTCTATGTCCCTGGAGCACTTGTTCTTAATGAGAGCTATTTCCATTATGAGCTTCAGCTCTCTCCCTCTGGCTAATCTGAGGCAAAGTCACCCAAAAAGAGACGCAGCCATGGCTCCTCTTACATGAGCAAAGTATTATTTGTTCTCCCTATGTGGAAATCAGCACTGTTAGAGACCTGAAAGAAGACCTGGGCTGAACTTAAATCCTTTCTGTAGTGTGGATAGGTACTTTCTCTCCAACACCATAGAGCTCTTCTTTTGCACAGGCATTTGATTCCACCTTACTTCATCAAAAGCATCTTTGGACCTGAAAGGTGATGCCCATTTTCTGCAGTTGATGTAAAACTTCCCTTGGGAGGGGCAGGAGTTTTCTGCTTTTGCTTATTTTCTTCTGTGCAGGCAACAGGGAAGAGGACTTGCTAGGCAACGAGGAGGCAGCATCTCATCTGGCTGACACTGGCGTCCTTCTGATGGAGAGGAGGCTTTAATGGGTGATGGCTGAGCTCAAACTTCCAGCTTCCAGGAAGATCTTTCCACCTTGCTGCTTTGCCCAATGACCAGAGCTGGCACCCAGTGCCTCTCCACCGGCTCCCAGCCTCATCTGAGCAGAGGTGGCCCTCCCCTGGTACGAGGCAGAACAAGGCACAGTCTGTGGGGAGGAGAGCAGCCCATTGCATCATTGCTTCCAGCTCGCATTTTGCCATAAATGGAGAAACAGATGGCTTTTGGGAAACAAGGAACCATGTTTGCATGCCATGGGAAGGCCACACTTGTCCCTCTCAAGGGGACTACAACTCCACCCTCCTCTCACTGAGAATGTGTGGTTTTATGGATGATACAAAGTTACGCAAACGTTTCTTTGAAATGGCCATTCTTGCTCCTTACAGGCATATAATTTTCCTGGAGGCTAGGCATATAATAATTTCTCTTAATTATTTGTCTATTAAAAAAATCCCTTAACACAGAGAACCCCACGTGTCTTTAGGACTCTAACCAAGGAATACCAGCTCTGAATAGGGCAGAGCATGGCAATATTTTAACATCTGGCAACAACAACAAAAAGCCAGCTATGAGAAAGGCACAGGGAGCAGAGCTTTAGGGCTGGCTGGCTGAATTCTTACCCTGCAGTAGGCATCCTGCTTGATCTTGTATGAGATAATTCTCCCTTGGATCTTCAGTTCAGCACCTGTAAGAAGCAGAGGAGCATCACTGCTTTATTGTAAGAGAGGAACCGTTTGAAGGCACAAAGTGCAGGCAGTGCACAGACCATATGACACAGAGGACTGAGACAGGAGGGCCTTTCTGCAGACGTAGGGATGATGGGTGTTTATAAAACTGGTTACCTAAAGATGTTTCTCTGCTGTTCTCTGCACGCAGCTTGCCAAATGCTTGAACATTTTGTTGTGTCTGCCTGGCATACCCCAGTTTCTCTTGCTGAAGGGGAGCTTGCCAAGGCTGATGCTGTGACCCACAGGCTGCATGCTGGAGGGCAGCACACACAACCTGCTGCCTCCTCCTGACGTGCTGGGCAGGGTCTGCCTGCCCCCAAGGTGCAGGCACTGACAGACATGTTGGTGATATCAGACGTCCTGGAGCACGCACTGCACTCCTCTCTATCCAAATCAGTGCTGCAATGCATGCCACCACTGCTGGCACTCTTTCAGGAGAGCATCTTAGGACAGATCTCACACCTGTTTGAAATGAGATTTAAACACTAACTCAGGTGCCTCCTTGAGCTCAGACACATACACACGTGGTGATGTGGCACATTTAACATGGCACAAAGCCTCGTGGGAAAGATTCCAACAGCCATGTCCTCCCCAGGCCAGCAACACAATGCCTCGGATCCTTAGATTTACCCCTCAGGCTTGAAGAGATACTGCTCATAGGACACATAGCTGTGACCTTTTCCAAGCTCTCCCCAGGCTGGAGAAGCTGGGTTCGAAAAAATGTCATTTACCAAATGATTTCTTAATGGTTGTGTCTTCGGGTGAAATTTGTCATGCTTTTAATCTACTGCAGAAGAAAAGTGGAAACACAGAAATCTATGATTTTTAATGTCCTAACACTTATTTCAGTGCTTCAGTTTTTATTACAATTATGTTTGTGGCAGAAAGCATTTCTAAGAGCCAACATCTAATGTCGCTTTCAGCTTCTAATACATCTTTAATTAGTGTCAGAGAATGCTAAAACTGTCCTTTTACTGCTTCAGAAGTGAAGAAAAGCCTGAGTGTGTCACACTTCCACTCCTATTAGAAGTGAACAGTGGTGAGATACACCTCCCTTCTTCTGTTTCCCTTTTACATGGTTGTGATGTTCCTCAATTGATTGTCACTCATGCTGGATTTCTCTCTACAGGCTTCTTGGTGAGAGCGTTGCAAAAGCCAGTTGACCCTTTTAAGGCTGGCAAGTAAGAAAATATCTACTTCTTTTTAATCAGAAATGCTGAATATGTATCTCTTGCAACATCCAATCACATACCCATTATTTACCAACGTCTGTGTTGGGTTGTCCATTGGTGTGCAGAGCTGTAGCTTCAGTGGCAGCACAGTGATGTGCAAACCAGTGTCACTGGGTGGTCTGGACCTCGTTTTAAGGCTGCACATTCTTCCAAATGACAAGAGTGCCCACTGAGCCACGCTCTCTAGTGGGCACAGTGGGGATGAGCTGATGGTTGGACTTCATGATCTTAGTGATCTTTTCCAACCTCAATGATTCTAGGAATCTATGAAATAAAATAGATTATACATTATCCACTCCATTAATGATCCCTGGATTTAACCCCTCAGAATTGCTAAGAGCTTGCATCTACCTCTTGCATTACATGGCACTTACAATTGCACAGTTCCACCATCCAGTGATCTGGGCAATGTTCTGGCACCTCCTTGATCTTCAGAGCAAGCAGAACTGATGGGCTATGTACTATCTTTAACTGTTGTGTTTCAAGAGGGAAATTTTGCATGAATTGCACGTCTTGAAGAATAAGCTGAAACATCAGTGCTGAGAGAGAAAAGGCTCCTCTTCGTGTTCTGAAATTCCAATTAAACAGCGCCCCCCCAGTCCCTACCTGTTGGGTAATTCTTATGTTTTCCATCCCTAGCGCATCTTCATGATTCCTGAAACAAGTGACTGGTTTTCGGCTGCTTCCCTTCCTGGCAGGCAGAGCTCACATGCTGGCTGGGGATGCTCCAACACATCTGTGTGGGGCTTTCATCTGGCCCTGCCCTCCCCTTTCATCTGCCGAGAGGAGAGCGCGGGTGTTGGCCTGGCTGCACAACAGAGCAAAGGGAACGGAAACCCGCGAGTAAACAGCTCCTCTGTGCTGCCCTCTGATTACCTAGCAGGGGAATATTCTGCTCGCTAATATTACAAATTAAGATGCGACCGTTGTAAATAGAGCAAATGCATATGGTGTTCTCAGAGATGCATAATGCAGACATCACATCTTGATCGTATTAGGTGAGGCTTATGTCTACAGACAGCACGTTCGCTCACAAGCAGCAATTTGGGAAGGAGCTGCCTGGACCAGGATGTGAACTTCGCTATGAGGCTCTCTCATGGTGCAGAGCCATTTGCTGAAATGTGAGTCCAGACGTGCTGGACTTGTTAAATAAGTTTTTTTCCCAAGTATGTGGATTGAGAGGGATGGTGGGAGGTGAAAACACCAAATGTCTTACATGGTAATCTTGTCTTACCATATAGGTCAGGAAACTAGGGACTAACATGGGGATAAAGACAGCAAGACTCTGAAGACTAAACATCCAGGATGAGGAAAATGTATCTCATGCTGGCAGTAAGACAAATAGATTAATGTAAAATGTAAGAAAGGCTGCAGTGGGCCAGAGGGAAGGTGGAACTGTCCCAGGAGCCTGTGGCCAGCTGCAGCCAGCACTGCACATCTGAGGACCACAGGGACCAGACTACAGGGACAAGGCAAGCCTATGCCCCACTGGTTTCCTTTCCCAGCTTGAAGATTACTGTTGTATTTTTAATTTAAACTCTGTAGTTGTTGCTTCGCATCATTCCTTTGCTCCATAAAACCATCTAAACTTCTTTGCTCCCCCAAAAACAAGTGACATTTGGGATCAGTTCACACGCAATGGCCCCAAAGGAAGGCCCCCATGTAGGGTATCAACCCAACATGGTAACAAAGCCCATGCACAGCATCCCATCGCATCCACGCCTCATTCCTCTTGGCCACTCACAGAGGGAGAGAGCAGTGGGATACAGGGATGGCAGCATTAGTCACCTCCACACCAAGGCCCCTGGAGCCATTCTGTGTTTGTGAAATGTTTTGATGACTGTTTGGTTTCTATTGGTGACATAAATCAATCTCCCTGCCATGGCGCTGGTTTTCCAGAACAAAGAATTCCCAGAAAAGGGGAATCCTACTGCTGGCTTACATAACACAAATGTAGGCTCCTGCTGGCCACATGGTATTTCCAGCACTGGATTTATTTTTTTTCTGCAGGATGCAACCAGGATGCTAATGAAAACAACACATGGAAGACCTCTGGATAAGCCCCAGTGTCTGCTGAGGAGCACATAGCTCTGGTCTGGAGCCTAAAACAAACACAGATGCATCTAAAACAATTATCAAAGATAAATAACGTGCGCCTTGAGAAGGAAAGGAAGGTCTATATATGCCTGCAGATCAAATGCTGGCTGCTCCAGTCTGATATACGAAGGAGCAAGAGGAATAGGGGTGGAATGCACAAATGGCCACAGAGGGGGTGCTGAGGTGAGTTTAGTGCAACGACGAGCCATTGTGCTCCTCTAGCAAGGAAAAGTTCTCCACATCCCCACTTCATTGCATGGTAATAATCAGGAGAACTGAGAACCCCTTCATACAGCCAACCCCAAAGGCTGACCATAACCTGCCCATGTACTGCTGCACTGCCAAAACTCCCAACTGAAGGTTGAACTGTGAGCAGTACGACCAAAAGAGACAAAGCCAAACCTCTGCTCCTCAAACTGGACCTCTTCTGGCTGAAGGGAACTGAGGAGCAGTCTGTTTCTCCTGATGTGAGTGCTGCAAGTAGCCCTGGGCTAAAGCCTTCATAGACACCCTCAGAATGTTTTGACAGCTTTAAAGGGGAATTTCCGTGGGGGAAAAAAAATCTTTCTCCCAGGATGGATTACAACAAATGGCAAACATTTTTCTCAGCTTCAGAAGTGAATTTTTTATGTAGCTCTTTGATGAGCAAATTTTGTTCTGATCTCAGGTGATATATTACAAACATCCATAAAACATGTCCAAGCAGACAGACGAGGGAAAAATGTGATTTTCTTTTGGGCAGTTCACTCAGTGGATACACAGATGACTGAACACAAGAGCACTGCAAGGAGAGGAGGTAAAAGCATTCCTCAGCCCAATGAAAACCTTTCAGACCAGTTTCATGCTACTCAATGTGTCAGGTGGCACATCTACCATTGCATGATCTGACAGAGTTCTGCCAAATTACTAATATGGGTTTAATTATATTTGTTGTGTCCGATTCCTGTAATTTGTCAATGGAAAGCACTAAGGAACTATAAGTGAATAGGAAATTATTTGGTTGGAAATTGGGATTTTATTATTATTATTATTATTTTTGTTCTTTTTCTGCCTCAAAATATCTCTGGCAAAGTACAAAGCACTTTTCCATCAGTACTGGCCATCCAGTAGGTTCTCATGAAATTTTGGTTTGCCTTGTGATATTTGTCAGCTCTCTTCATGGAAAAGTATATTTTTGGACAGGGTGTAGAAATACCCAAGAACTCAGAACATAGATTTCAACATCGCCCAGCTGCAGGAATTTGGGATTGACAGCAGATCTGTTCTCCAGTCTGCACAGAGAGATGAGGCACCATCCTGCAGCCAACACCGCCCTACCTTCATTCCTGTTCACCCAAAAAACACAAGAGCTGAATGCTCAGCCAGGTGTAACCCTGCCCTTCTGCCATCAGTTCCGACCTTCACTGCACAGGAAGATATTCAGCAGAATGAAACTTAGGGGGGAGAAAAATAATCATTGCTACATTCATTGCTGGACCACTGATGCCCGATTCACCAAATTTCCCCAAGCCTTGACGCAATTCTTTAAGATAATCCACTTATCTTTTCTACTTATCTAACTTAATTTACAACAAAAATTTACTGTTTCTTACCTGTGTCAAGCCCATCTCCTCTCCTGCCACTCACCC